TATATTTATTATTAGTTAAATACTTTTTAACAAGTAATAATTAACTTTCATTTATTAATTAAATGATTTTGAATAGTTAATTATTGATTATTAATTAATATGTAGTAATTAATTAATTTTAATTTATTAAAATAATAAAATGTTAAATTATTTAGTGGATAAGAAAATAAAATTATGAGATAATAAAATAATTAAATAATATATAGATAATTAATAATAAATATTGTTAATTATTATTATTATTATTATTATTATTATTATTATTATTATTATCATTATCACTATTATTATTATATAGGTTTTTCAAAGTGTAGTATATGTGAAAGGAAGAAGCTTTGGGGGATAGTTTTGGAAAGCAAAAAGTAAAATTAGTGGAAAACAAAGACTGATATGATTAAAATTAGAGAGGGACTTTGGGTTATATATATATATATATATATATATATATATATATATATATATAATATAATATAATATAATATAAATTAGACGGTCCATGTCAGCATGCCTCTCCTTTGAGAGAAGCTATTTATCTATCTTCTCTATTTTTGCATTTTTTCTTATTTTCTTTTGTTTAAAAAATATAAAACAATACTCATTGCTTATCTTGATTAGATTAATAAATTTGCACACTATTAGAGAAAGACATTTGGGTTTTCCAAGGCCTCTTATTTTAATGTATGTTATTATTACATTTAAAAGACATTTAAGAGAAATAGAGAGACGTGTGAGTTTTTAAAGACCTTTTATTTTAATGCATGTTATATTACATTGAAGAGAGAGAGAGAGAGAGTAGCAATAACATAAACCAAGGTTTTTAAAACCAAATTGGACAACTAACCGGTCAGAGATCTCGTTCCCAAGTTGAACAGTCCGACTATTCAAATCGAATGGATGACACGTAGTGACAAAAAAAAGGGCAAAACCGTTGGATGGTTGAAACGGTTTGACCGCCCAGGTCAGCGATTTGCTGAGCAAATCAATGGCTATTGGCAAAATAACGGTTATGGGGTAAAACAGAACTAGTCACTTGACCGGTTCCCAGTTTTTCGATTTGGTCCGGTTTTGAAAACCATGATATAAATAGGTTGAGGTTAAACAATAAAAAAATTGTCAATTTAAAAATCCACTATACTTTCACTAAAAATAAATATTAAGAAAACTTAGTAAATATTAAAAATGTGTTTTAATTCCACTTAAAAATTCAACTTAATAAACACTAATAAAAATAAGAAATTTAAATATAAAATTATTAATTGATAGTTTTAATAATATTATTAGATAACTTATGAGTTGAGACCTTAATAAACGCTAATAAAAAATATTAATTGAAAGTTTTAAAATACCAACAATTAATTAAAAATCCAAAAAATTCTGAAAAACCTAAAAATAATTAAAATACTAAAAATAATTAAAAAATATATGAAATTAATAATATTTTATATTAATAAGTATATTTATTGAAAATAATTAAAAAGTATAATTAATAGTATTTTATTATTAAAAAATACCAAAAATTATTAAAATTTACCCTATCTAGATATTATTGAAAAATATTGAAAATTAGTTGTATTTTTTATTAAATATGGTATTTATTTATTTATTTATTTATTTTAATTTTAATGAAAGCAGGTACAAATTAATTTTGTAGTGACTAATATGCAAAAATAAATGATGAAAATACTGAAAATTATTGAAAAATACTCATGTGCAAAAATTACTGAATTATAATGAAAAGAACACCAAAAATTAATTAAAAATCCAAAAATTCTGAAAAAATGTAAAGCTTAATTAAAATACTAAAAATAATTAAAATATTTAATTAATTGTATTTTATTGCAAAAACACTGAATAATAATGAAGAAATGATGTATTTTAATTATTAATAGTAATATAATTAACAACAATTATTTTTAAACTATAATTAACAATAATCATAATTTAAGTTATAAATAGTAGAAAATTACATTTAATTACCAAAAAGTTATATTTAATTATCATAAAATTTCATTTAATTAGTTTTAGCTAAAAAATTAGCAATAATTTTGAAAATATGATAATTTCCGAAAATTACTATATTTCAAATAAATATAGTAATTTAATAATTACAATATTTTAATAGATAACAAAATTTTAATAATTAATAATAAAAAGTAACAAATCGTTTATAATTTAACATAACCTGATTAGATCTATAAATTTGTAGGCTCAAGCAATTATCTTCTTTTGAGTTAGATCTAGTTGAGATATGCACCATGACCACACATTATTAGGGATAATTAAATCCAAAGTCTAATTGGGTATAACTTTTGGAGTCCAATGATGAATTTAGCTGATAGGGCCCAAGCTTAACAACCTCTAATAAGCTCAATTTAGAAGCTATATGCATATAGGGTAAATACTATTATATAATTTTTAAATAACAAATTTTATATTTTTTTCTCTGTATTTTTTTATATTAACATATATAGAAATGTTATATATTTTTTTTTATACTAGACTAGAATTAAATAAAAATTTTAATTTGTAAAAAACATAGTTTTATAATTAACATGTGCCACTTTATTAATAAAAAATGTGCAAGCATGAGCCCGACCATCAGGCCTACATCTTGAACCTGAGCCTAGCCCTTATATATAGCCCGAAGCTCGAGCTTGAGCCCGAAGCCCAATCTGTACACAAAATGTCTTATTTTCAATATACTTTTATAAACTAATATTATATTAATTTAGTAATAATTTAATAAATTAATCAACTAATTTATATTTCCTAACAGTAAATTGATATTTATTAATGATTTAAGAGGTATATATATATTATATAACATAAGTATTTTTTTATATATATAATTGTATCGGGCCGGGCTTATTTGAGAAAGCTCGAGCTCGAGCCAATGAGCCTAAAATTTTGTCAAGGCTTGAAAAATAATGGGTCAGGCCGACTGGGACATTGGGCTACCTGGCACATGAATAAGTCTAATTGTATATATAAGCAATTGTATACACCAAAAATCATATGAAATAAAAATTTAAACATCATTTTCAATTTTTAAAAAAATGGACCTTTGATATCTTGGCCCGGTCCGCGGCCTAGGCAAGCTATTTGGGTATTTGTTCATATTAAGTTAACTAAATTTATTAATATATTTATTCATATTAAATTAACAATAATTATTTTTTGTTAATCAACATTAAATGAAAAATACAACTATTAAAATTTTAGATAATGACAATAACTTTAAATACTTTTAGTTAATTAGCAACATTATTAATTTAATATTAATTAATTGTAAATAAAATTATTAAATCTTTAGATTTCCCTTGCATCTCACGGCTCCCCGTTGGTTGGCTATGAAAATGCACGAGTTCTTTTTAACATTCAACATTAAATTAAGAAGAGACATCTAACAGGCCCTAAAGGTGAATTTTGAAAAATAACTAATTACTTAAAGAAATCACCAATTTTTTAAAAATTGGTGAAGTCATCGATTCCAAACACCAGATTTCTGACCAATTTCGGGAATTTTTAAAATTCGTTAATTAATTAGCAAAATAAACAACTTAGGGTTTTTATAGTTTAGTCTACTCTTAGGGTGGAGTTAGAATTTTTAGGAATGGACTGAATCCTGTTCGTGTCGTGGATTAATGCCAAATTTATCGCAGTTCACAGTTTATAGGGGCTACTAATAGACTAGGAGGGAGATTTTTGAGGTGGATTCTTATCCCTATTTTTTTTGCTGATGTGACTCTGATGTGGCGCATGGGTCCCAAACACCAACTAGGCTGTAATTTAACAATTGACAATTGAAAGCTGAATGATTGTCACTGGGACCCGCTGTGGAAATGAATGTCACGTAAGACCCTAACATCTATCGTGGGTCCCATATAGACCAAACCGAAATTTGACACGTACTCGAACTCATGTGGGATGGGAATTTACATCCACGTGTTTGCTTCTCCCAGTTCACAGTAGAAATTAATGTTTGCCTCGCAAACTCAGGCAAGGTGCACTGCACACGTTACTGTACAGAGCATGGGAGTTAATAGCATTATCAAGACGCGCGCAAACCATTAACCCAGTGAGCTGCTGCTTTCTTCCCAGACGGATCACCTAAGAGCAAAAATTGAATCCTACATGTGTGGCGGACTTATTGGATGCGAAGCAAGATTTGCCACGTATGCTGCCAGCATGTTTCCCCGCGCCCTTCCCTTTTCGTCTACTTCGGGGACTCGGCGTCAAGGAGGAAACCTCCTGTACGGTCGACTAAGGGTAACACTGACACGTGGCAAATACAGGAGATCAGGACTGACTTGGCGAATTAGATAATCAGATTAGAGAAGTTGTCGTTCTGAAAAACGTCATGTTAGGTGGTATTAGAGTTGATCCAACCCGAAAAGGCAGGATCAGGGTATCATATTTAGCTATTCGAATGTGAAAATGATTCGACCCGAAAAATGGATTGGGTTAGTTTATGGGTCAACCCGCTGATCCGATTGTCAAGTTTAATTAAATTTATTTATGCGTTATTAGAATTTTCTATTCTTTAAATTTTTTTAATTTAGTCTTTACTTTTTATTGTTTACTCTTTAAATTGTTAAATGTTCAAATTTTTTATTTCATATTTGGAATTTTAAGTTTAATTCTTTTAATTTTGACAATTTTCATGTAATTTTTCTTTATTTTTTTAAATTTCAATTATTTTTTAGATAATCCGAATTGATCCATAAGTCAATCCTAACCCGAACATTTAAAATTAGAGTATAACATTTAACAACCCAATCCAAAATTCAACCCGACCCAAAATCAACCCAAAATACGTAGATCCAACCCTAACCCGAACCACCCAACTCAATTGCCAGGTGTAGGTGGTAGTGTGGTACAGTGGGAGTTCGGAGATGTACGAAGCAAGAACAATACATACGACGATATAGAAAGTGACACGCCATCATGAGTACGGTGGTGGCATAAGGATGCAGCAATTTTGGCGGGTGAGTTGCAGTCGCAGAGGAGATTTTCTCACTTTCAAGCAAAGCCAGCCCTTAGAGAGAGAGAGAAATTGAATTTCGAATAACCATGATCTCATCACCATCGAATTGGCCTTTTCGTATACTTCGATATCCAAACAAATTTTAAAGCTAGAAAGGAGAGAGAGAGAGAGAGGAAGACAGAGGAGAGAGAAGGAGCAGAGAGAGAGGAAGACAGAGGAGAGCGAAGGAGCGGAGAGGAGAGAGAAGGCATTGCAGGTATTGCAGTGCATTGGGAGACTAAAATCCCGAAGCTAGAGCTGAAATAATAAAAAAGGAGCCGTACTGATTCGCTCTCTGACTGAAAAGGATAGAAGAAAATTTCGTCATTTTCATGTTATTTGTTTCTGATTCTCTTTGTTTCCTTCTCCTCAGTCGTCTTCTTCAAACGTAGAGATGGTTTAAAGGAGTAGAAATGCAGAACTTCATAGAAGCCTTGACCAACTCCACAATGTATTGTTCATCCTCGTTTATTCGGTATTTCTTTTCCTTACTCTGTTTTTGATTTTCGCTTCGGGTTGATGTGAGTTGGTATTTATTTGACTGTGGTTTTCATGATTTAGAAAGCCTTTATGGTGTTTACTTGCCTTCTCTGTGTGTGAGAGCTTTATCTTGATCTGTGGCTTTGGTTTTCTTTCTGTAAATACATCTAATCTAGTTAGCTCTCCACATATACTTTATTTTTATTTTCTTTTATATTTTTAATGTTCCAAAATGATGCAGAGGTGATGAAGGTAGCCGTAACCAATCTCGGTTTTCGGGTCTTGGGGAGCTTGAACAGTCTACTGGATTCCATCATGAAGATGCCGTTAATTTAAGCCCAGGTATCCAATCATTAAAAGCTCTCTTCTCTTCTCTCTTTCGTCTTGTTCTCTTGTCTTCTTTCTTTTGCTTCAGAGTGCTAAAGGCTTGTTTCTCTTTATGCAACACTTTCACTTCTTCGAGCTGCCTTTTGTATTTCCTAGGCTCGTTTTTCGGTTTGAAGTCGAATAGCGTCTCTGTTGTTACTAATTTACAGTTTGGCGGCTTAAACACGGTACTCCTCTCTCATCTCTCTCTCTCACTCTCCTGTGATCTGAATTGAATGCGAAATTAGATTGATGGAATCTGATTATTGGTTAAATATGAAACTTTCTTTGTTCAGAGCGTTAGTTCGTCGGACATAACTTCTGCGACGGGAGTTGATACAGGGCAATACTCGTTCCAGAAGGAAACAATGCCCGTTGCTGCTTCGTTTGGGAATGTGCATTTTGAGAACTGGGGGGACTCTGGAATGGTTGACAACAGTCAGCAGGCGGATACGTCTACAGATGTCGACATAGATGATAAAAACCAGGTTTTTCTCTTTTCTTATCTGAGAGGTGATTGCAACATTGTAAAATAGGGTGGGGCTTTAACAATTGGTTTCATGGGTTGGGGAACTGGGAATCACGGCTTCACTGTGTAAAATAGGGTGGGTCTTTCTTCATACGAGAAGGGAAATAACATCTTTTGTTTTCGTGCTTCATGGGGCTAAAGTGCTGAAAAACGGGGGGTAGCCCGTCCCCCATACCCATAACCCCCCAACCGTGGTGGCAACGGGCCACCATCAGTTGGTGGAAAGAGCAATAATTACTGATAAAAAACTTGGCAAGGTTTATTATTTATTTAATTTTTGAGTTTGGAAATCAAGGAGCACAGACTTAAAGTTGTAATGATACCAATAATGGCGTGGACATGCTTGAATTTGCCACTGTATATAGACATTTCTCTATTTATAGGTTATAATGGTAACCTATATCAGAGAACAATTATGGATTTCAATATCCAAACTTTATCCATAAAAAAGGGAATTACACAATGCCTTCCCTAGCTACTGGGGTTTTGGGAGGGGTAGACTAGACGCAGTCCTAACATTTGGCCACTCTCATACTCGAATTCACACTTGCCAGCCCTATATCTAAATTTTATGCATACTCTTCCATAAATTGATTTGCTTAAATTACTGGATATTCCAATTTTCTTCGAAATGTAATTAAAAAAAGGAAACTGAAATTGAAATGCATACAAGCTTGTATGGATAATTAAAAAAAGGAAACTGATATCTAAATTTTATCGATACTCTTCGATAAATGATTTTCTTAAATTACTGGATATTCCAATTTTCTTCTAAATGCAATTAAAAGAAGGAAACTGAAATTGAAATCCATACAAGCTTGTATGGATAATTTTACTTTTATTTCCTTTTCTGTCACTCTTCTATTAGGATAGATTCTCAAAATCTGTGGAGACAAACCCAAGGTTTGGTATGAATACATAATTTGACTCGTTTGAACAATTTGACTCAACTCAGTTTAGCCTCAATCCCAACTATTGGGGTTGACTATCAGAATCCTTTTTTGGCCATTATGTCTATCAAGAGCAGTATTTTCTGTCAAGTTGCAAGTCATTATATCATTGTCTTACCACTTCAGGTCATGCTTTCTTTGGTCTTCCCCTTGCTTTCTTAGAGTCTTCTACTTGCACCAACTCGATCCAAAAGGTCCAATCATTGCTCATCTATGCTTATCCTCTCATCTTGCCACTAATTGGAGCTTGTCCTAAGTTCTCTCTAATGTGCTCCATTTCTGATGTTTGACTTGTCTCAAGAATAGAAAAAAAAAAGATGGATCTCTATTATTGCAGCAGTAAAACTTGACGAAGTTTTCAATTCCATGTGGATACCTTCCAATTATGCATTTAGGTCGCAACTTGCATGCAGTTTTCTTAAACACAGAGTTTTGATTGGCTGGAAAGCCTGATTTGGTTTTACCCTGTTTAAGTTTCAAGGTGTTCAGTCAGGAGCACTTATATCTGTGGATTCTGCAGACAGATCAAAGGCAAAAACTGGAGATCAGAAGGTTTGTGATTGCCATTGCATGATTTATATAATTTGGTTCTTTACTTCCACATATTTATTTATTTTTGGGTGGTCATACATATAGACACTTCGTAGGCTGGCTCAGAATCGTGAAGCTGCAAGGAAGAGTCGTTTAAGGAAGAAAGTAAGACATTTTTTTTTTTTACTTTGTACTTTTTTTTGATAGGAAACGGTAACTTTCATTAGATAATTAAAAAGATTACAGGCTTACCACCCACAAAAAGGATGGAAAAAGAAAATCAAAAACTTACAAACAGGCCCAAAACAAAGCCTCCCTAGTAACTCCTTGCTTAGCTAAAGTGTCAACCATTCCATTTGCTGACCTCCTTACCCAATTAAAGTGCACCCCAATCTCTCTTGTTAAGCTAATAATCTCTCTTAGCGGTTGTCTAAGAGACCACACTCCCAGGTTTCCAGTTTGCATCCACCCTATTACCAGCTTGGAGTCTCCTTCCACTTCTAATTGCTGCATGCCCCATTGTTTCGCCAATTTCAAACCTTGAAGTAAGGCCATTACTTCTGCCCTTAATGAATCTCCCACCTCAATTGGGCCCGAGTAAAGGGCCAAGACTTTTCGTTCCTCGTTTCTGTACACAACCACCACTCCCGATGGACTTGGATAACCCTAGGAGCTTCCATCAAAGTTTAGTTTCACCTTGAACTGAGGCGGTGGTACCCAACAATCTTGTACCACAGGGGAGGAAGGCAAGGATGTAGCTATAACACTCCAATTTATAATTAAGTCCACTGAGGAGAAATCCTTGAAGAGATGATGTACTTTCAGACCATGATTTTGGGAGTTTATGGATTCTGGAAGTTCCTCATATCAAATTTTTCTTTGGTTTTGGTTTTAGGACATATAGCTATCAGTATAAACATGCATAAACTGTTTGTGAGCCATGCTATGCATATGGGCTGGTCAAACCCTATTTACATTCAATAGCATTAAAAACATGGATATGGTCCATTGTATCAGGTCCAGTAGACCCACAAAATGCACTAGATCTACAGTGTTAAATATACCATATGCATATATGGTCTGGTCAACCTTTATGGTTAGCATTTCTTCAAGTTCTTTAACCTTAAAAATGCAGTATATTTTGTGGATCTTCATAATAGAATTTCCACTTAAGGTTTTGATTTCAAGGCATCATGTTTCCTTTTCCTGTTATTAGATAATTCTGTTCTGTAATGAATGGATATTTTCAACTTCCTCCTTGTATGATGTGACCATGGGCATGTTGTTGAAGAGACAAGATGCGTATTATCAGATCCTAGTTCCCAACTCATTGTCATATTAAGTGGCTTTTGAGAATAGGCTCAGTCACTGTGTGGTTCCAGTATACCTTTAAGATTTCTATATCAGGAGTCATCTTGGCAATGCTTACCCCTCTTTTTATGGTTTATTTTTCTATTTAGGCTGCATTTGTTTCCTCAGGAAGAGGAAGTAACTGAGAGAATCTAATGTAGGGAAGATCCTCAAGATATTTCCTAAAATTACTAAAGGATTTTTCCAGACCTTTTCATTTCTCATTTGTTTTACAAGGAACCAAATACAGCTTTGTTGTATTAATATTGCACATATGCATTTCACTTCTATATGTACATTTTGGTTTGTAAATAGATTTGTTATTTTTCTGTGCTATAAACCTCTATTACCATTTCTTGGAGCAATGGTAAAATCTTGGGCTGACAAGAGCGAGGAACTTGGGTTTGAGTCTGAGAGTGGTTTGTGCGAAAAATGTCAAAGCTTAAGTCTGCATCTGGTCCACCCCTCCCAAGACCCTAGATGGCTGGGACCAACATTGGAAAATGACCCTTTTATGTCCTTTTAATTGATTGTATAATATTTTATACTGGAAATGGGATGGATAGGAGTAAAAAATTGTGGATATTTCTGCTTCTTGATGGCTTCTTCCATTTCTATGTGATAATGCATTTGCAAAAAAAAAAAAAAATCATACAATGTATTTTCCTCCACATGGACTTTACCTACTATATGGCATCTTATATGTCTTGTCAAATATTTTATTTATGCTGGTTACATTTTCTATATTTTATCCTTCTCCTTTTGCCACACTCCCAAACCTGTTGATGGCACAAGTCGTGTGTTATCTTTTGATGAGTAGTTTAAAACTAAGGATGTGAACTCTTTGGATGCTTATAAGCCTGGATAGCATTTTCACAAACAGTTTTTTTTTTTTTTCTCACTTGTTTATGATTGGAGTTGATTTTTGTAATATTTACATGATAGTCTTGACTTGATGTTAATCTTCAGCAGATGATGAGGAGCGAATCTACAAACTAGAACCTGTTGGCGACTGTCTTTTTTAATTGGATGTGTTCCTCATTGCCTACATTATTTGACTGTTGTTTTAGGGGTGATCATCTCCATTATATATATATCCGAAAAAAAAATCTTTGGTTCTAAATTTTCCTTGCTAGGAAGCTTCATTACTTGGTCTTGCTTATAAAATGGAAAATTTCTGCTTGAGTTATTTCCAGGGAAATCTATTGTGCCATGGATTAGAGAAAGTAATTGAATTTTAATTGCACGGTTTTGCATTACTTTGTATGTTTTTATTTATCTGCCTGTCATGCTTTAAGATGAGAAGGATGATTGAAGCCTGTTAAATCAATCATTTATGATCAATTTTGGATATGTTGGAATGGTTCCATTGTCATTCTCCAAACTGTTTATAAAGTCATTACATGTTATTGAAATTTGAAAAAGTTCACTAGAAGTTTTCACTGATCTGAGTTGTTACTTGTTACTTGTTAGCCATATGAGAGAAAGGTCTAGATGCTTCTCATTTTGGGATAAACAGGTTTAATGAATCAAAATAGAAAATTGAAATAGTAACATGCAAGAGGCAACATAGCATATAACCATACGATATGGGTCAATATTCTGTGAACTGATCTTTTATTGTTTAGTTATTGTAATGCATGAAACCAAATGGTTTGCTATTGGATAATCATACCTAGACAGTTTGACATTTGGGAATTGTGGATAATGAACTGCTACATAAATTGTTCTCCAGAAGGAAGTGGGTAAATAATATATATGATTGTTTTAGCCTCTAGTCTTTGTTGTCATATTAATAGTTTGCTTCTAACCAATTTACAAATAAACTGCTTTTATATTTATCTTTCTAAATATAGCCTTTTCGTTTAATGTGTCAGTCAGAAAACTTTTGGTTTCAATTCTTTTTTCATTTTTATGTATGAAACTATCGAATTGCCTAGTTCCTTGTTAAAAGGTCTTCATTTGTCTTCCAACATATTGCCATATACTCATTATACTAATGAGGCCAAAATATGCCACTAATTGCTAGTTTAGTAGCTTACAGTTATCTATATAACAAAGTTTTTATGCCATCTTTTTATATTTAAGATCTCTTGAATGCCATGAGCAAGATATATTGAGGACAATAGACCTTGCTTTTGGACAGGTATATGTTCAGAAGCTGGAGAATAGCCGGTTGAAACTCATTCAACTAGAGCAAGAGCTTCAGCGAGCACGACAACAGGTGTGATGAGTGCACAGAATTGATTTTTCTATTCTGCATATTCATATAATCTACCGATTGATCAAATACTGCTGTATGGTTCTTTTTCTTTTTCCCAATTTTATTCTCTTGGTACAGGGTATTTTTATTGCAAATGGATACTCAGGAGACCAAAGCCATTCAGTGATTGGAAATGGTATGCAACTTATACATCTTTTCAGTTTTTTGATTGGTAACATAGTGTTTTATTAATTTAGAAAAATAATGATTTATATACAAGTATGCCAAGCATTCATTCACTTTAGGCTGGTAAAAACCACCTAACCCATTTTCTTAGTCATTGCATTACAATTGACCTCAAAACAAATGATCCCTATTCACCCCATGCTTGGTTTATTGCATTGACTTGCTGATCATTTGGCCTGAGAAAAGTGGTTTCCAGCTCCCATGGCAATACTTTATTTCCTCATGATGTCTTTCATTGCCATAGTCCTTTTTTATTGTACTCTAACCTTCTCACCACCACCTTTGGATCCCATTCCACGACTATATTCTTATAGTTTAATGACCTTCCAATTCTCATTCTTTCTCGTGTTGCTAGCAACTTAACTCTTAAGGAGTCTCCATAACCCACTAGTCCAGAATACATGGTTAGAATTGTTCCACTTTACTCTAAATGCCTCTCCTATGCTTGAGTATCCTGGATTTTCCATATTGTAGTCATCAAAGTTTAGGTTTATGTGGTTGGTGGTTGGTGGGCTCCATTAAACTACCACCCTTGTAGTTGTTGACCATGCCACTTGCTACACATTTCCATTATCTGAAGATGTCATCCATGGAGAAATGGGCAGAAATATTTTATGTTTTTATCCAATGCACTACTTTTGCTGCAATGCTTTCCATAATTTTTTTCTTGGTCTATGCCTTCCCATCGAAGATCCTTTCATTTTTTCCTTCCCATAGCATCTAAGGCATTGTTGCCCTTGTGCATCTCTTCATGATCATCCCTTTCCTTGGCAAGGGAAATAAAGAATGATTAAATAAGCTTTCCATGTTTTTTGGTGGACTCCACTTGCAACGAAAAAAGAGAGAAGAACCACTCCTAAATGCAATAGTTACACAAGTAGGTGATAAATAATTGGTAAGTAGTTTCTTCACTTGCATTGCTAAGGAAACTCATTTGTAGGGACTAGTACCAATTAGGCCTTCTCCTCTGGAGGAACATCGCAAGTGTTGATTTTTCTATGGAAAACCTCCTAGAGAAATTTTTTGGTGGCACTGGCAGAAGTAAGGTTAATCTTTTCCTTGTGCATATATGTTAATATGGGCAGAAGTGAGTGAAGGTTACCAATATTTTCAACCCAAAAGAAGGAAACAAAGAAGATAATGTTTCTGGTGGTTCTACCACTTTATGAGATTGTTCATGCAGAGAGAAGACAATGTTTTACATTGAAATCCTTTGTTATTGATAAAAAAGAAGACACTGTTTTACAGTTTGTTATTGTAAGTATCAAGAAAGATTGCTTTTATTCATGCAGATATTTATGTTAACAATTTTTTTTCAGGGCCTTTAGCGTTTGATATGGAATATGCATGGTGGCTTGATGAGCATCAAAGGCATATCAATGACTTGAGAGTGGCTGTAAATTCTCATGTCGGTGATAATGAGCTGTGCCTTCTTGTTGACAATGTAATGTCACATTATGATGAAATATTCAGGCTAAAAAGTATAGGTGCAAAGTCTGATGTATTCCACATGCTCTCAGGCACGTGGAAGACACCTGCTGAGAGGTGTTTCATGTGGTTGGGGGGCTTCCGTTCATCTGAACTTCTCAAGGTGAGAGTGTGATTGATGCAGTGGACTGTATCTTTTTATCCATTAAAGAATGGCTGTGTGTGTTTTCCTCTTGTATAATGTATAATAGCTTATGGAGGTGTTTTGTGATTAATTCAGTTCTGCATGTTGTTAATTTCAGATTCTTGGAAACCATCTCGAACCATTAACTGATCAACAGTTAATGGGTATATGTAATCTGCAGCATTCCTCACAACAGGCTGAGGATGCCTTGTTTCAAGGGATGGAAGCTTTGCAACAATCTCTTGCAGATACCCTATCTTCTGGTGCTCTTGGACCTTCTGGTTCTGGAAATGTTGCTGATTACATGGGTCAGATGGCACTTGCAATGGGCAAACTTGGGACACTTGAGAACTTCCTTCACCAGGTAAGGACATTCAGTCATTCACCAATTCAGTATGTTTAGATACTTGCTCAACAGTCAACACCCTCATATATATGTAACCATTGAGGCACCAAGGATTTAGAGTTCGACGGATTTCTGAGAAGTTTATATTGCAATTTCAAAAGAAATTTTTAAGCATTTCAATCTTAATTTTTGATCAAATTTTTAAGCAATGTGTTTCTTCTTTCTTAGGCTGACCTCTTGCGGCAGCAAACTCTGCAACAAATGCATCGCATATTGACCACTCATCAAGCAGCCCGTGCCCTGCTTGTTATCAGTGATTATCTTTCACGGCTGCGGGCACTAAGTTCTTTATGGCTGGCACGCCCTAGGGACTAATAGGGACCTCTTTACCCTCTGTCTTGGATGTAGTAAGGTCAGAGAAGGAATTAGTTTGAAATATGATGTGTACAAAGAATGCCTGGAAAATTTTGATGCTGTAATATTAAACAAATGTAGCTGGAGCAGCCAATTTTCAGATTCTGCATTGAAATTTGAAACAGGCTTTAGTCAGGATTTTTCAGTTTGTATTGTAGATTGCTTAACATATGATGTTGTATCATACTCCCTTTTCTGAAGCTGCTGGTATCCATCATATTCTCCTTTTAGTATTAGGCTTCAAGGGATTGTTTCCATTCTCGTTATAACAGCAATGACTTATTGTTCAAAAACAAGAGATCGGGTCTACTATCCACAAGATGCTACACACAAGACCCTACAGCTGCACATCAGGAACATCTCCCGTACTTGTATGTTGACATTCATGGAATATGTTCTCAATGTGCGGCTGTAGTGTCTTGTGGATAGCATATCTTTTTCTGTAAATAATGGCCAACATTGATCTTTGTTCTTCTTATGGTAGTAGGAAGCATGCTATTTTTAGAACCATTAAGGCCTTGAAGCTGTATTATTACCTTTTTTCTCAGTAAAAAAGAAGCATTACTTTTACCAATTTTATGTTAGAGAATAGGTGTTTAAGTGGGTCATGTATGTGCAGGCACCCTTGTGTTTCTTTTGGATCTGCTATTTCAATCTACAAACAACTTTTTGTCCTACCAAAACAACCTAAGAACTGTAAAGACATTACTAATGAGGCAACGATTTTATTGAACAGCTTGGCAATGGGGAGAATGTCGCTCCTATATTACAAGCTTTAAGTTAAACAGTGGAAGTGAGCACACATCTGTGAAAATTTTCCTCTTTATTTTTTAAGGCAACAAATCATCAATACTTCTCCACCCATATCCATTTCTGCAAGGCCTGACCTTCATGGTTCTTGTGTGCCCTCTTCTGTATAGACAGATTGTCGCTGTTCTGTTCTGCTACACTCTTCTGTTTTACCTGGAGAGCTTCACCTTTTGCAGGACTCTTTTGTTTCATCTGGGCTTCATGGTTCTTGAGTTCTGCAGGGATCTTTTGTTTCATCTGGGCCTCATGGTTCTTTTGTTCTTCTAGAGTCTTTGGTTTCACCTGAGCTTCATGGTTTCTCTGTGTCACTTGAGCTTTATTATTCTTCCGTTCTACAATCAACAAATGCCACATTAGTCATTAATTAAAGATGAACGTCCTGATAGAACTGTTGTTTTGGCTTCAACACATAAAGTGGTCTACTTACTCTGTATATCTTTCTTTTGGGGTCTCAGATTTAACTCATTGATCTGGGGAATGAAAACACCAGTTCCACTACTTTCTTTTCCTGTATTCATCTGTTCAGATGGAATTGTACTCGTATCTGTCAACTTGAAACTTGCTCCTTGACTGCGAAGTAGGGATGGAGCCAATAGCTGAGTTGTTAAACGCCAATCCAGAGTACTCCCATTTCCCAACACCAAAGAAACTTCTCGGCTGGTAAGCAGGGTAGTCACCAATTGTTGAGATATTAGACTTAGGTTTTATGTTGCTGAAGATGTTGGACATGAGAGGCTCGGCTCCCAGCAGTTCTGTCTTGTTGGAGGCAAGAGGTTTGTTTCCCCATGGTCCTGTCTTACCGAAATCTAGGGGCTTGGCTCCAACTACTGCTTTGTTATCATCTGCTGTCAAAACTGGAACTTGCTTTCTCAGATCGGCATAGAAGAGTTCATCCTCATCCATGGCGAGGTAGAAATCTACGTCCATCTTCACGTTGGTGGGAAGGTGGCAGGTAGACCTGTTCATGGGCTGGGTGGCCCGGCCCCTGGACAGGCTTGAACATGCAAATGAGCCCGGGGGCTTAACCTCGGGCCAAAAAGCCTGGTCTGCAATAAATTCGAGCCGGGCTCGGGATATGCCAAAATAGCCCGGCTCGACCTATAGACTAAACTTAAAAAACCCTAAGCCGAATCTCTCTTCTCTTTCACCTCTTTCACCTCTTTCCCCTTAGACGAACCTCTATTCTCTTCACATCCTTCTCAGTCCTCACACAATCAAGCAGCCACACAACCGGCGAGGCGGCGAACATTCACCGACGCAACAACTCCGGCAGTGAGTCCTCTCTCTCTCTCTCTCGTTCCTCTTCTCACTTCTCTTTCAAATCTCAGACACCGGCGAGGCGACGAATCTAGGCACCGGCAGTGGCGGTAAGTTCTCTCTCTCTCTCTCTCTCAGATGCGAACTGACACTTTTCACTGTTAAAATCGCAGCTTACTGCGAACTCAGCTCCGACGAACACAATCACCGGCGGTGAGTAAAAGCCCAGATTCCGGCTTCGGGCTTTTTATCAGGGCCGGGCTCAGGCTCGGGCCTAACAAATTTCTATTCATGAAAAAGTAAAAGTCTAGCCCGAGCCCAGCCCGACCCGGTCCATAAACAGGTCTAGTGGCATGTTGGTTTGAAATAGCGTTGACAGTACAGATGAGATGAAGCTTTGATACTATATATGGAGAGAGAGAGAGAGAGCGTATATATATAGAGAGAGAGAGCGATAGCTAAAGCCTAAAGACTTTGACTAGCATGATATTCACCCTAATATTCACGCATTACGGCCCAATAACACCTTCGGACTCTTGCTAGCGACATTCGAGAATGGAGGTTCCGTGTTAGGAGTCAATGCTACGCGTCTAAGGCAAGCTGGACTTACAAGGTTTCCATAATTGAAGGATGTCTGTTTGTACGTTGGTGGAAAAAGGCTGTATCTTTAGAAAACCATAAATTGAATGTAATCACTCCCATGTAACATGGACATCTTTTAACCACACGGGTCTCTCCAAATAACCTGAATTGGTATTGGTATCCAACGCCCCATTTGGTTCACGGGAATAGGGGTCTGGAATCAGAATGGAATGAGTTATTTTGATTCTAACTGTTTGGTTGAACGGAATTGGAATTCCATTCATATTCTTGCTGGAATAGTATTTTCTCATTTGAGGGAATGATCATTCCCTGCCCCTCCTAGTTCCTTGAGAATGAAATCTCGGTTCTATTAATTCTAATTCCCATTTTTATCTGAACCAAACAGATTATGGTAATGGATCATTCCAATTCCAATTCTGGAGGATTTCGATTCTAAGTGCGAACTAAATAGACCCCAAGTATATGGATATTTTGATCCTTAGGGGTGGAGAAAAATTTACTTGCGACCAGTGTCGCAGAACAGCTCAACAGACCCTCAAATAATTTTTGAACACGCCAGTGTGTTAATCAGGTACTGATTTAACGTGATATTTTGTCTTTTTTCACCACACACTGGCGTGTTCAATAATCACTAGGAGTCACTGAGTTGTTCTGCGACGTTGGTCACAGGCAATGTTAACTCTTATGGGTGAGGTACAGCAGGGTGCGCTGGAGGCTCATTAGCCATACCACGGAGAACCTGTTGATCTATGAATTCATATCTATGCCCCACAGCACATCCCAACCGTGTATTGAAAATATCTCCCAAACCGAGATGTTCCCATGTGAATTCCGGATCTACGGGTTACCTCCCATTTGGAGGGATGCCAAAGGAGGAGAGAATAAGTTGATGTGAACAACTAAATTTTATGTACATAGAATAGACGTGAAACTGGATAGTAGAATTATAGAAAATGAGAGAGAGAGATCTTAAAGAATTCCAAACCAATCATAGCCCAATTGTTCTTTTTTTCTTTAATTTTGTAGATTCTTCTGGACAGGTTTTGAAATCTGGATTCCACCCAATTGTTTTAAGCAGTAAACAGTCTTTAATCTGCTTGTCTCCGGCTTATTCGTGGAATTTGGCGTGTTCTCCCCTAAATCCACTATCATGGAAATGCTAAAACAAGTTCCAGAATGATTAAAGTATTTAACCATCTTAGGTGATGTTTGGCATCGATGAGTCATGTAGGATCTATATGAGAATTTGAAGAATCAGTGATTTTTTTCTCTTCTTTGGTTGGCTGATTATACCAATTTTTGAGAAATCAGTCAAAAATCGATTATTGAAATAAGCCCTTTTCAAGGATCACCTTTCTGGTGATTTCTTGATTTTTAACTGATTCCGATTTTTTGAGGATGACATGGCATTGAATATTAACTCTAATACAAAAATAATCGGTCCTTGAAAATCAGTAGCAAACAGACTCAAAGTTGATTTATCAAAAAACAGCTTACATGGCATAAATGATATACCAAACAACATTTTTTGGTGATTTTTCAGAAATAACTGACTTCTGGATAATCGGGCAAGGAGAAATCATCATTGATGCCAAACATCACCTTAATCTTTCAATCATGGAAATGCTAAAACAAGTTCCAGAATGATTAAAGTATTTAACCATCTTAGGTGATGTTTGGCATCGATGAGTCATGTAGGATCTATATGAGAATTTGAAGAATCAGTGATTTTTTTCTCTTCTTTGGTTGGCTGATTATACCAATTTTTGAGAAATCAGTCAAAAATCGATTATTGAAATAATCCCTTTTCAAGGATCACCTTTCTGGGATGGGGCACCCCTCCTTGTACCTTGCCCCCATAAGTCAAGACACTCTACTCCATCCTCACCCTAACTCGTGTGGTAGGGCAGGTTCGGGGCGAGGCACCCATTTCCTATCGGGGATGAGGAATCCCCAAAATTTCCCCACCCTAAGGTAATCACCTAAAAAATCTAAATTAAGGATATTTTACAAATAGGATTATGAGAATTTGGGAGTATTTTAGGAATTTGATTATGACAGTTTGGGGGTATTTTATAAATGAAATTATGGGATTCTAGGATTATAAGAATATGAAGAAAAATTAGAGATATTTTAAAAATCAATATTAAATCTATGGATATTTTACTAATTTACCATTAGGTTCGGGGAATTATATGCAAACCCCATCCCTAATTTGGGACAAAAATATTTTCCCTATCCCCACTCCGTCTCTGCCCTGTCCCCATTTAAGATTTGAGAAAACTTGCCTTGTTCGGTGTGGGACAGGGTAGGGCCCTAGTTTTACAAGGAAAATTGCCATGCATCCCTACAATTCTAATAATTTTCTATAACTAAATAATTAACAGTAAATTAAATAACAAAAATAACAATATTTTATGATAATTTCCAAAAAATTATTGAAATTGCTATGAATTAGTGGTAATGTATAGTAAATTAATTATTTATGATAACAATAAATTGATGTAAATTATTTACTATTAAGAAAGTAAATATAATTATAGTAAATTACATTGTTCTAATTAAAAGCAAACCACTTGTTGTTAATTAATGTAAAACTAGGTATGATCAAAGTCAACCAAGTGGTCTAGATCGGTGTGGATAGACTTAAAAATTTTCCTAAATTATTTAATAATTATTTATTGAAATAATAATAATGGATTATTATTTAAATAATTATGAAGCAATTTCCTAATTTAATTTTCCTATCTTTAATAATATTTTAGTTGAATAATAATAATGGATTATTATTTAAATAGTTTTGATAATATTTTTTCATAGATTAATTTCTTAATTACTTATTTAAAAAATAATTATGGATTATTAGTTAAAGAGTTTCCCTAAATTATTTGATAATTGTTAACTATAATTGTTGATTTTATAGAAATTAGAAAATTACGCTAATTAGTAATATCTTTTATCAATAAATTCTTATTGTAAAAATTTAATGAAAATTTATTAAATTGCAATGATTAATGTAATTTACGCTAAATGTTGAAATTTTGAACATTTATTAATAACCAAAAAGTATTAAATAATGGATTATTTATTAATTTTGGTGGAATATTAAATTATTTAATATTTGTTAAATAATGGATTATTCCTGAAATAATTATTTCATTTTTTGGTAGAATATTTTTAATAATTTTCACAACTAATGGATTATTTAACAATAGATTATTATTTAAGAATAGATTATTTAACAATAATGGAAGATGCCACGAATATATAGGAAACATTGAATTCCTTTTATTCCCCTCTCTTTAGTTGAAATCATGTCTATAGATATAAATATTGTTTGATTTGGGAAAGCGAATCATAATAAATTAAGGCCCTATTTTTATGGGAAAGTGGAGAGAATAGAGGGGAATTAGAAATAGAAGTGAAGGAGAGGATAAAACATATATTGAGCTAATTAAGGAGAGAAGTTACATTGTTATAGAAAATGAGAGGAGGGAGAGAAAGAGAACCCTATGGGAAGGGAGGAATGAAGAGAGAGGGTGCTTAGATGAAAAATTAGGAGTGGTGGGAAGAGGAGAGGAGGGTAGAGGAGAGGAGAGAGAGAGAGAGAGTCAAGGAGAATGTGGGGTTGGGGTAATGGAGCAAGGAAAAGCAAAGTGACGTGGACTGTCTTGCTATATATATATATATACACACACACTAGCGGGGACCTATGCGATACATAGGCTTTGTTAAGTGAAAGTTAAATAATAGATGCACAAGAATATACCATTGCTTTATATTTTAATTTTTTAAATGATTAATAATTACTTAAATTTATATACTATTTTAATATTATTTTTTGTAATACAAAAATAATAATAATTAATTTCATCTATGGTTGTTCATCAAACCGATCAAACTGAACAACCCAAACCAACTCGACTTGAGTTGGTTGGTTTTTTAGTATATTTGGTTGGCCTTGGTTCAGCAACTCCCCAACTAGACCAGGTTGGGTCAGTTTTGGTTTGACCATTTGTAAGGAAACCAACATCGAACTG